AACAGGAGAGCACAGCACACTTTTGCAGAGATGCATGGCACAGGCTCATACAACAACATCTATTTCACCACTTAGAGATGCCTTATTGTCTTGRCATAAAGATACAGAAATACAGCTGGTATAAAGCTGATTATTAAAGTGTTTGTTTACTATTAAGCTAACTTAGTGTGTTTACTATTAAGGTTAATTTTAAAGTGGCTCAGTTGGTCTGTTACCTAAAATATCAAATTTGAGCTCTTGGTCAGGAGCTGCCTAAAGGCCAGGTTCTTCCACTTAATGCAGTTACCACCTTGCATATAACCATAAACCTCTAATGACCTCTTGATTTGGGGCAAATATGTTGCCCCAAACAGGGGGTAAAATGGCTTTCTGGGGTAATGGACTGGCCAAGAAACCGTATTCTTTCCCCTACAAAGAGCAAGCAGAGAGCATGGTGGCGTTTCGCATCCTGCAGAGCCTCTGGCCAGCCACGGAGCTGGCTGCTGAAGAAAGGCTGAGTCATTTCCATGGGATGTCTCGCGGAGGAGCTAAGTGATGCAAGGCTTGGGTCTGAACAGCTCTGTTTCCTGGAGAATTGTAATTCTGTTTACTTAGAAGAGGAAAAAGTCACTGGGGGCCTCAGTGCTGCTGTGTCATCCCCGACTGGATGAAGTCTTGTTTATCTCGATCTGAGAAGGGAGAGCAGTGATTTTGGTGGCACTTTTAAGAAAATAGTTCTTAAGTTGTTGGGAGTACTGGCAGTATAAATAGTCCCTGGGTTTGACTCCAGAGCTGTTTTTATTTTGCTTGCTCCATAACAGCAGTGACATGTCACTCAAGGCATCACAAGAGCTTGGCATCCCGTGCCGGGTAAAATTGGTTGTTGCACAGACACGAGTTCAGCCTTGTAAATGTAAATTTGAGGGCTGCATGGCACCGGGTTGAGGTGGAGTGGGCTTGTGAATTTTCTTCTGCTCTCCATTTTCATTCAGTGTATGTTTTACCCAGCATCTACCTATTTATATAGGACCTACTAGTTCATCTCTGTTGCTTTTCTATAGGAGAAGAAGAAATAATTGAACATACTAATGGAATATTTTGACGAAGGAGATGGCAGCGAGCTGYTACTTTATGGGAACATGTCATGAGGATCATTAATGCCTCAACAAGGCAGGAAGTTGGGTCCCTGCACGAGTGGCATGGTGCGAATCACTTTTCAGCAAGCAGCTGGAAAGCACTGTCTCTCCCACATGCATTTCTGTCTCTGACAGCAATACTACCTCGATATGCTGCTTTATACTTGATCACGTCTGTTGACATTCATGTGCCGAGGTAGGATGTGTGATCAGTTGGGTGGGGAGGCAGCACATTGGCTGCTACGGGCACCTCTGCACCTTGTCAAAACTTGGACTTTGTTTCATGGCAGTATTGGCCATGGGCACTTGGGATAGATTCCAACTGATAGGAAACAGCAGCACCCTGGGACCTGCCACAGCACAAATGATTCAAGGAGATGGAGCATTTGGTAAAAGAGCCGATAGTACCAACCTGTGTTTTGGGCTAATCATAATGTTGGGTGCTTTTTCTTGCAGAAGTCGGGCAACAAGGGTGGCATATGTGTTTTGCTTGAAAGTCACATCCCATATTAGTTTGAGAGCTGATCCTGGTTCAGGATGCTGAAATTGCAGCCTAAACCTCTAACCTAAACCAGGCAACTTCTGCTACTTGACAGCAATGAAATTGATGCTGGGTCAGAGCCCAGCTGCAGGTCAGGACACTGCCCTGTTCCTGACAATAACTGTACCAGATTCACGGTCCTGCAGATCTCTTCTATCCTGATTTCTTAAGAGATGATTAATTCTTGACTGAAATGGAGCTGAAGCTTTACTCTTTAGCTTTAAGTCCATCTGACATAGGTTCAAGGCATTTCTTGTTACCTTCTACATTCAAAAAGTGGCTTGGAATGCTGTTTTATTTTATTTTACCTTTTTAGCAAGGAGGGGACTGCACAACTCTTGCTGTTCAAACAAAATAAATCTGTTCAGGTTTTTTATATCTGTAAATTTGAAGCAGTCCGAAGACCGGTCCTGTACCAAAGGCATTTTCCCAATAAGATCTCCATTTTCATAAGCCATTTATAGTAAATGAAGACATGTTTGTAGGAGTACCAATAGATGGGAGAGGCTGATCATGCAAAAAAATCTGGATGACTGTTTTTTGAAACTTAAATCTGATTATGCATATATGCTATTTTTGTTCTTCTCTTTAGTTATCTGTCAAGGAACATTTATGCAAATGAATTTTCTTTATAGATTTTAAGCAAGCAGACTAGAATGCTGTCATAAAAAAATCATAAATATTGTTTTTACATATTTCTTTTCCTCAGGTTTTTCAAGGTAGGCTGAACTCTAAATTCTGGTCATTTGTTCTGAAAATGAACTATGTGATGTTTGGGTTGGATTACAAAGAGGTAGCTCCACTTTGGTCTTAAGATCAAATGCTGCATTCCATGCTGAATTTTGATAAAATAATATGCAAGCCTGAGGAAGATCAGTCTTGTGACTATTCAAAGTGGAGCGATGTCAAAATTTATATTCCATTATTGGCGAATTGAGTAGGATGAGTTATTGCTAATAATATCCAACTGGCTGTCTCTTGGGTTGGATTTCACGTGTTCTTGTGTGAGCTGGTAGACGAGGGTAGTGGTGGAACTTGTACATTACAGTTATTTTTACTGTACTGTTTAGCTTAAATAAGCAATTAGGAGTGTTTATTTAATATGAGTATTTGGACACCATAAAGTGCCTCATAAAAATGAAGGAAAGTATAGGCATGAATGTATACACATCTGACGGGAAAAAAAAGGCGTTGTGTGTGACTTCTGACTTAATATACTCTATCAACAGTTAAGGTCTCGGGCTATGATGGCACCTATTGTGATTTGAGTGGGACAATATCTTCAAAGTTTGTACCAAATGGGCATTTCTGTTGGTAAAACAAGAGGACCTACTGTAAGCTATTTCTAATCCCATGACTGCATACAACTGCAGAGCTGAGGTCAACTGCAGAGCTTGAGCTACTTGATGTGAAGAAATAGGGCGACATGGTCTTTTCTGTGCACGCCTGTTCTAGTGAGGTGTAACCCAAAGAGGGAGGAGAGGATGCGTGGTGTTTCCATGGATGTATGAGGAAGAGGGGGCAGATACACTGGAAAGCTTGGCAGAGGCTGAGGTGTGAAGGAGTGTGGTCACCTCGTTGAGGCAGAAGTGCCCTCCATAAAGTGCCTGCTGGGTCCCATCTGAAGAGTCCAGGGAAGCCCTGGGCCCGACCTAGTGAACCCAGGAGCTGAGTACACTCACTGCCAGGCTCAGCTTAGAATCATAGAATCATAGAATGCCCAAGGTTGGAAGGGACCTCAGAGGTCATCGAGTCCAACCCCCCTGCWCACGCAGGGTCACCTAGAGCACCTGGCACAGGGCTGCATCCAAGCTTGCTGATAGTTCGTCACCTCTGCATCCCTTCCAAACTCAGCTTCACCAAGGAGCCAGCCCACAGGATATACCACCCTGCTGCAAAGTCCTCAAGTGCCTGCAAGTCCCCTCTGCCTCCAGGATAAATGGTTTGGAGAGTTGCTTGCCCTTGGGGTTACATGTCTTTGTATTTGCCTTATTGGGAGACTCTGGCCATCAKTAGCGTGGTGCAGAGCAGTGGGAGAGGTACCAGGGCCTCAAGGACCTCCTGCCTCCTCTGTGCTAGGACGTGGACGTGGGCCGATTCTGTGTCCACCACCATGTGGGTCCATTTTTTTGTGCTTGCCTGATCCTGCCTAACTTGAGCCTGGCAGCCCTGGCTTTGCCCTACTTTGCCCTACTGGCAAATAAACCCCATTGGTGCAAGAGCACGGCCAGGAGACTGAGGCAAAGAGGGGTGGAGAGAGCAAACATGGACATTGCAAAGAAACAGGTTTTCTGCTGTCTGCTAGAAAACCTGCTCTGAGAGCAGGTGGGGGGCAGAGAGAGAAAAGGAGAAAATGGCAAAATGCCTCCAAGGAGTTGGAGAGGCGGGAGGGGAACATTCCTGCAAGGCTGGGGCAAAGCAGCGTGTCCCTGTGCCGCCGTCCTGCTGCCCAGCTCAGCTCGAGCCCCGGCACTGCATATTTGCTCCTTGTGTGTTTGGGTGCCTGCACCACTGCAGGAGACAGTGCAGGGACCAGTGGGACCCCCGGCAGCCCGGGGGGCTCCGTCCCCTGCCTGCCGTCACCCCACTGCCTGCTGCCYGTGGCGCACAAAGAGCTGCCAGGCTCTGCCTGGCGCTGAGGGAGGAGGAGGAGGAGGAAGGGAGGGAGGGAGGGGAGGGTGGTGATAAGGGGCTTGCTGCGTCGCCTCAGATCTGGAGGCAGCGCAGCTCCCGGGGAGCGCGCGAGCCGCCGCGCGCCCGCGCTCGCCGCCTCGACACTCCTGCTGCTGCTGCTGCTGCTGCAGTGGTGGCGGCGCCGGGGCCGCGGGCGTCGGGGCAGAGCCGCTGTTTCCACGAGCGGCGCCCGCTCGCGCGTCTCGCCATGCAGGCGTCCTCGGCGGGGAGGCTGCGCTGCCGGCAGCACCTGTGAGGAGCTGCGGGGAGAGGCTCCCCGAGGCGCGCGGCAGCCTCCCCGCTGCTGGGGGTCTCTGCTCGGGAGAGGAGAGGCGACAAGAGCCAGAAGCCCCTGCGAGACGGACCCAGCTGGTGCCTCACAGGTGTTTGCCGGGCTCTGGATGGGGAGGCTCGGGAGAGAAGTTCACCGGAGGAGCCGGGGCCGGGCAAAGATGCGATGATCTTGCAGCAAGTGGATGTGCGTGGAGAAGCTCGCAGCAATGCCCGCCAAGTGAGCTGCTCGGTCTCCTCTGCCAGGCTCCTCTCGGCCGGCAAACTTTCCCCTGCCAGAAGTTGGGAGGAATAGCGGGACCCCCGAGGGGAGACCCGCGGCATCGCGCGCCCCGCGGCGGGGCCCGCGCTGCTCCCCAGCCCGTGAGCGCGGGGTCGCGATGCTGGCTGCGGCGCCCGCGGCCGGCGAGCAGACCCCACGCGCCTGAGCCGTCGGGGCCGTGGCGGCCATGGCCGCTGCCATCGCCAGCTCCCTGATCCGCCAGAAGAGACAGGCCAGGGAGCGGGAGAAGTCCAACGCCTGCAAGTGTGTCAACAGCCCAAGCAAGAGCAAGGGCAGCTGCGACAAGAACAAGTTGAACGTGTTTTCCAGGGTCAAGCTTTTCGGCTCCAAGAAAAGGCGGAGGAGGCGACCAGGTTGGCCAGGGCTGCGTGCTCGGGGGACGGGGGGTAGTTTGGTTTCGTTTGATGCAACCTGCGATGCGTGCTGGGCATGGGGAGAGGGAACCTGGGCTCTCAGAGCTGCTGAAATGAAGATTAACATGCAGGTGTTGCCTCTTGGCTGCGTGATGTGGTAGATGTGGGTAGCGATCTCTTCCTTGCTTCATCTSTTTTATTTGGGTAGCGCACACCGTTACTTCCTGCCTCGCTTGCACACACGTGTCCACCCATGTCCCCGCAACTCAGTCGTCCGGCTCTACATCGCACATACATAAACACACGTGATTTACTTGCTGGGGAGATGCTAGCAGGGAGGCTTCCCCGTGCGCGCTGCCTCTAGCTGCMTATTCCTCTCTATATGCTGGATAACTTAGCAGTCCAGATGCCGGGCTTTGCCTCCCTGCTTTGCAGCCTGCCTCTCCCTCGCTTTATGTGTGTGATGCTTGCAGGAGAAGAGGCTTTTGGCTCTGTTCCATGCAGAGTTACACTTCGGCATCCTGTCCCTTCCTCAGAGCATCCTGCTCATGCAGTCCCCGTGCCAGAGACCGGGCATGAGGGCTCGGTCCCTGAGCCCAGTGGGATTTGCACATGGGAGGTGCAGAACCTCCTGGTACCGTTGCTCCCGCTTTGCTGTGCTCAGACCCGATGCTGGGAGCCACTTAACCTGTCTGTGCCTTTCAGCACTCACAGAAAGGGACCTYGCTGCAAACCTGCACGCAGCTCCGTCACTGCTAGAAAGCCAGAGGGGCTCTTGGGTTCCTTCTCTGTCATTACACTTATTAAAGGTTGCTAATAGGAAGCAGTATAGTTGTGCAAACTGTTGTGAGCTTTGCACCTTCAGCTCCTACTGAAGCAAAGCATAGCAGTAGAGCTCCCCTAATTTCCTTCATTAGGAACCCAAGGAGTCTTATCCGGACGYGGGGAGTTTGCGTCGGCAACGCCACCTCGTATCTTTGCAGTGCGTTTGTCTCTGAATTAAGTCGCTTTAGAGCGAGCTGCGAAGGATGCATCACCTTCTGCCAAGCATAATTGTGTGAGATGGCCACAATGCAGATGTCATTGGGATTCAGTGGAAGTAGACCTCTTTCCTCCCCCCCTCCAATTACTCCTGATGCATTACCCTGTAATTTCAGTAWTTTCTTTAAATGACAGCAGATCCTGTTGCTATTTACTTTTTTGGTCTGGAATGATCTGAAATGATTTGAGATAATTTCACTTTGCAACTGTGAATATAAGGATGATTATGAAAAACAAATATGCAGACTATGTGTTGTTTTGATCTTTCTTCTTCTAGCTGAGGAGGTAATTACCTCAACCCGTATGGTAATATTTATTTTGCAGTTCCACACATTGTTGGATTTCAAGGTCCCCTCCCCTTTCATTTTCCATATGTTCCCTGAGTAGTTTATCACTTCAGATGCTTCATACTCTTTGGAGCGAYGAAGAATGGGGGTTTGTTTATTAGAACTGCAGCAGTTCCCATCGTAAACGTTTGCTGCTATATATGYAGGCTCTCAGCTGTCACTACAGCTCTTGTTAACGTTGTCTTAGTAGTTCTCCTTTTCTCTCCATTTAAGAAATCGCACCTTTTTTTTAAAGATAAAATATGCTCTTTGCCAGTGTATCCCTAATCTTAGCTGAGATAGGGCTGAGCTCCTGCAGCCGAACATTCGCATTCCCTGGAAGCAGGTTTTAATGTGCTACCTATGTGACAGTAGAAAGTGGCATTTAATCATTTTGGCAATTGATTTTTTTTTCCTAGCCACGAATTTGACCTCAGCCTAAACGAGGAGTGTTGCAAAGCTGGTTACTCTGCTTTTGTCTCGGGTCTTTTTCCTCCCTTATTCTTTCTTATTCCGAAACCAGGAGGTTTGTGTTAGCATCCTGCTCCTTGGAACAGCACATCCCCATTTCCCACATTAATCTCACTATTGTTTTCTTACAGAGCCTCAGCTTAAAGGTATAGTAACAAAGCTATACAGCAGGCAAGGATACCACTTGCAGTTGCAAGCAGATGGAACAATTGATGGAACAAAAGAGGAGGACAGTAGTTATAGTAAGTGACATCAGAATAAATGGTGTGTTTGTGCATTGTGGTGTCTCCTTCTTTCCATATAGGTCCTTTAAGCATTGGTGTCCTAGGATGACTGAATGGAAGCAGCTTTCATGCCTTGCACGCTGTGCAGGAGTCTTTCCGMCTTACTGGGTCTGAAAGAAAGGCAAATAAAAATCACTTATGAAAATAATGAACTAGTGAAGGTAACGATGACACATGTGACAAACAATGCAAATGTTATCTCCATGGCAATCTAGAGAAGTTCATTGCTGTCCTTTGGATTTTATTAGCTTTTTTTTTTTCTGACACAGAAAATTTGTTCGCCTACTCAGAGCGCCTGAAATAGAATAACTCTACTCTTAAACAGAGCTTAAAGTTCACATTTCCCCATTATTTTTTTTATCTCTTCTGCTAATTCTAAGCTTAATTATGACTTCAGAGTGCAAACAGTTTTCCCTCAGCTTTTCTGTGAAACTGTTCTRAATTTTATATTTTTAACAACTTAGAGAATTAATAGGAAGGATGAAAGAGATAGCGTAGAACGGGTATGTGTAAATAAAATACCTGTTTCACGTAGTTTAAGCTAAACTGAACAACTAAGCTTTTGCTCTGAAGAAGGAGTTTGAGCAAGGAGATTGAGAAGGTATTTGAGGTTGCTTAAGCAATAAGCCAGAAGATGGACAAGCAACTCTTCTTTTTGACAAACACTTTCATTGAAAGGTACTGATTCGAATACCCTATTTTAATACTAAAGAATATTTTCATCCTTTCGTATTTACAAGGTACTTAAATAGAGCAGAACTAGGATAGAGTAGGAAATTGCGATGTRTAATTTGTCCTATCGCTCCTATCATTTTCCTGCTCCCTCTTTACTACTTATTGCATCCACGAATTAACTTATGAGTGTCTTGAGGGATCCAACTATGCCGCTTAAAGAGCTCTCTGCAGCTGAAGGTGCTGGGCRTTAGGCAGAGCACATGGGTAGGATCTCTAAAGACATCCAAGGTCTGGCATAAGCACCCATCTCACCCGTGGAGATGGCGCCTACAAACCCTAATCTTCCTGCATGATATTGTTACAAATTTTCACATTCCAGAGCAGGCAAATTTACAGCTTATTTCTCAAGAGGTTGTTTCATTGTAAATGCTGCTTGCAATTGTTTTAATAGGGGCTCTGATATTCTAAAGAAGATAAAATCTGTGAGAACCTGTTCTTCTGGAATTCGTACAGTTGTATCAATTTCTGTGATGCGTGGGTTCCATTGTGCCCTTAAATTTACCATAACCTGACAGACTACAAAGCAAATCGTACAAACTTATTGCTGGAAGCCAGATTCCAAAATGCTGAATGCTTAAATATAACGCACATATCCCAGGAACGGTTGCAGCTGGGCTGCGGTATCGAAGCACTCAGAAAATAGAAGGCTTTATCATAAGAAAAAGTACATGCATTTGTATATGTTCCTCTTTCATGTGAGATAAGTGTATAGAACTAAATGTCCTCCAGTCCTGAATTTGTTCTAATGGCAACATTTTAAATGGCATTAGGAAGAGAGGCTGATTTATGCTATGGATCAGAGTCCGTGTAATGGGCTTGCTCCAAAGCCTTGCTCRCATGAATATTAAGCAGATCAGGCCCTCTGAAATCCTCTCTCCTGATTTCTGCAGAGACATAAGGGGAGAAACCTCAAACTTGGAGCTCCGCAGCTACGGCCAGCAGATCAGAAAGCCAGGCCCAGGGCTCTGCACCCGCGTTCATGCCAAACCATAGAGATAATCCGTCTGCATTCCAGGGAACACTTGGCATTCCTGTTGCCTCTCCTGCTTCTGAGCTGTTTGCTTCCTGGTGCTGGGTCAGAGATTTGCCTGGAGATCCCCTTTGGCTGCCCCAAAAGGGAGCAATTATTTCCAGCTCTGCAGACCCGCTGCTCCCTACAGGGCTCCCAAGGCCAAGGCTGCATCCACGACTGCAGGGAGCTTAAAAGAAAGCTGAGGTTCAGGAGCACAACTGAGACAGGAGGGCAAGTACGAAGCTGAGGAGTTGTAGTAGTCACCGGGCCCCAGTTTTAGCCAAGAGCCTGTGTAATTTGAGGAAGTGCCTCATGGAAAGGATTTCCTGGCTCAGAACCAGATTTGGCCTCATTAGATGTGTTAAATAGGGCAAGGTGTTAAATCAAGGCAGAATTTATTCCCCAATTTTGGCATGGCAAAGAGAGTTGAAGACCTATAAAATAAATATGTAGCAAATTATATCCTGCGGAAAGTGTGTGAAAGTCCAGGTGGCCAAGCCAAGGACAGCACAGGCTTTGCAGTAATGTGTAATAATAAATAAATCCTACAGAGTAATGTGTACATTAATAAATCCAACGGGGGCCGGCTGCCTCCCTATTTTGCAGCTCGTTCCCTGTCAGCTTGTATTGCACAGCGCCCATAGCAAAGATCATCTCTCCCTCAGGCATCACCAAGTTTTTCATTGCAGTGGGTATTATGTCCTTATTTTACATGCTGTGAATGTAATAGGTAGCAGCTAGGATGCATGCAAGTGCTTTAGGACTGTTTTGTGCTATTGCAAATGGTAGAAACAAACAGTTCCTTTTGCATGGGCTTTTTGGCCGCCCCTTCTGTCCTTCCTGCCCAGTGAGGGTTGATGTGGTTGCATCCTGGACCTGTTGTTCAGGGCAGGAGATGCAGCAGGGACCACACAGCTCTGGTTTAGGACCCAAAAACCGTTGCTATTTGCAGCCGGGCTGCTTGCAGCATTATAGAAATGGGGCAGAGCCTTGGAGAGAGGCGTGAGGAGGGTCTGCTCTGAAGCTGGACCTTGCTGTGGTGCAACGGGGAGGGGAGAAGCAGCTTAGCTGCCGATGGTGAGCTGACAGGTCGGGAAGGAAGGGAGCTGTTGTCCCCAGAGCAAGCCAGGGCCTTGTAGCCTCTAGAAACAATGCCAAAAGATTTAAAAAAAGAAAAAAAAAATTGTTTGTTTGATTGTTTTTTGGTGCATTCCCTCCAACACCAGGAGGTAGAGGCGATGCTGTTGGAGGTAGAGGGGATGCAGAGGTAGAGAGATTGATGCTGGAAGCTGCATCTTCCTCCCTGTCCTCGTCTTTGTCCCATCTCAGCCACTTATGGCCAGGTTCCCAGCGCTGTCTACAGTGGAGCCCATCCCCGTAGCCTTGGGCCCAGAACATGCCGGCAGGAGAGCACCTTTCCAGAGCGCTGCTGTTGAGGACCACTGTGCGGACAGCAGACAGGAGGTATTTAGTGTCTCTAGGTGGCACAACCTCAGAGCTGCACCAGCCAGGAGACCCTTTTCTGCAAGAATTAGGGCTACCAAGCTGCTTTTCAGCAGMACTTCTCCAGTAGTCCCCATCCCAGAGCGTTAGCTTCTGGCCTTGCCTTTCTTGAAGCAGGACATTTATACATTTGCTCTTTCTTTTTTTTTTTTTTCTTTTTTTCCTTTTTTTTTTATATGCTTTTGACAGCCCTACAGAATTTAGGAGCTATGCTAGATACTAGTCCACTGCAAATTTTCTTTTAATTAAATATGACCATTTGGGGTTTGTCAGACTGAAAAAAAAAATTATAACAGCTTATAGTTCTTAGCTTATACTTTTGCAAATAATAAGAAAAATATTTCAAATTCATAACTCAGTTTTAAATTGCTTTTGCACGGTGACCATAAATACCAAAGTTCAGCCTGAAGCAGACAAGGGTTTTACAGCCACGTAATAAACCATTGGAAATAAGAGTCRGTTTAGCATTACCTTATCCTAACTCTACGTTTATACAACAATCTGCACGGAGATGCTTGGGTTATGATAGCAGCTCTTGAAATTTTTCTTATCTCCCCTCACTTGCTTTTAATCCTACCTATCAAATCAAGTACTATATTTGCAGATTATTACTTGTATTAAATTTTGACATAGCCACAGATTTAAGGTACGGCATAACTTCGCTTAAAAAAAAAAAAAAAAAGCCAGTTTCCAAACTAGTATTTTCATTATTARAAGAGAGATTTCTCTACATATATTTGTCATCGTTATTAGCACATATAGAAGCATAAATACAAATAGAGCATTTGAAGCAGGTTAATTTTAAAACACAAATTTAGGAGTTGATCTAAAGAATATGCTATCATTCCATTTCCTTTCGAAGTTATTTAACCCTGTTTTTTTCAAATCCATTCTTCTCAAAACGAAGAGACAAGTTTTGAAAGATTTTGAGATGTTAGTTATACATTTTAATTTTTCTTCTTTTTGGTAAAGAATATTTGCTGTATTTGATACAAACTTACACAAAAAAAAAAAAGTTTTGATCCTCTTGAAAACCTTTTTGTTTGGTTTTGGATTTATTTATTTTTCCTGTCACACACACAAAACAAAAACCTCCAAAAACAAACAAAAATGAAACTCAATATGTTCAGGTCTATTTAGCAGACCCTGAGTTCTGCCCATGAAGCAGGTAAGTCATTCCAACTCTTAGTGCCTCCAATTACCATGTTCAGGATGGGAAAAATGCGTTGATATCTTCTGTAGATAATATATGGGCTATCAGTAAAAATTGCTAAATGAACTAAAAATGGTACTAGCGTTGTTTTATAGCACTGATGGAAATTAATATTTCCCTGAATTGTTTTTTTTTTATTCAATTCTAGTAATTCTGACTTAGTACTCTATCTAATCTTTATGCTTTAAAAGGTTAATTTTGCTTTCCATCTCCTTTCTCTCCTAGCGTTGTTTAACCTCATACCTGTGGGTTTACGAGTGGTGGCGATTCAGGGGGTTCAAACAAAATTGTACCTAGCAATGAACAGTGAAGGATACCTATACACATCAGTAAGTAAATGTTTTCTAATTTCATTGTTACTGCCATTCTTGTAAGAGCTTATTAAACTAATAATGTGCTTTTCCAAAAAGTTTGCTCCTAAGCGTCTAACCTGGAGACGGGATTTAGCAGGAAGTCTAGCAGTGATCTTTGGTTTTGGCTTGTTAGTGTATATTGTGAATATATTGTGACTGCATATGAATATGTGGAATCAAATTGCTCTTCCTGTGGTTCGAGCTAAATGCGAAATCAGAACAAACCTCAGGACCCAATTCTGGAAGGAATTTCTCTCCCAGTTGGTGTGGMGCGATCATGCTAATCAGTGTGGGATACTGAAGAAAAGGGGCGGTTTTGTGCCTAAACACATTTTATATCTTTCTATACACCCCTGTTGCTGTTATTAAAAAGGATTAAAGAAAGTCTCCTTTTTTTTTTTTTCCAGTATTTTCAAATAGGAATGGAATTAGGTTCCAAATCTTATTGCTTTGAATTCCTGTACAAGTAAAGAAATGTTTCATTTAGCAGTTTTGATGAAGAACAGTTGTTAATAATCTTCAGTAACATTTCTCAGGAGAGCAAATGCTGTTTTCATAGAGGAGGAAAAAAAAAGGATATTTTTAAAAATAGAGTATTTTTCAATTAAGAACATATAGTTGAACTGTGTTCAGGAGTTTTAATTATGAAGTCTTAATAGGTTTTTCCCAGGGAGGAAAATAGAGGAGAATGTAATTTATTATCTACTACAAATTATTCTAAGGATGATTCCCTTAAGGTGCCTTTAATACTGATAACAATTAAATAAACTTATTCAAATCTCCCATTTGTTTTGCAATCCTGACAGCTGGGACWAGTAGGCAGCTTTGCATATTTTTCGTCCAAGACCAAACTAGAGCTGGATAAGATGTGGGGGGAAAAAAAGTAAAATTTCACGGAACGCAGTGCTGAATTCCACTTTTCTTTCTTGTCTTAGCTATTTGCTTAGGACCGTTAATCCATGAATCTGCTGCAACCACAGAGCCGTCGCGTACAAAGCTCCTTTGATCCTGTGTAGTCATGGGCTTGTGGCCACCTAGTTGCATTTGCATTTACTTTTACCTCCTTTCTGGCCTCCCACGAACTGCCACCCCAGGCCTCATTCCAGCCTCTTTGTCCTCAGTGAATGTCCTCAGTGAATCCTCCAGAGTCAGGATTTAGGGTGGGATAGAAGGATTTGTGTAATGAAGAGAAGTACCAGCACTGCGTGCAGCGAATGTGTAGATGTATTTCATCTTTCACTGCCAGATGTATTCTGGAAAAATCAGATGCATTTTTTGCATTTTTGCATTGTCCTTCTGGCATTTTGCAAAGCTGCAAAAATGGCATGGAGCGAGATTCAGCCACCCTGAAACTACAACTGAGTAGGAACTTCCCGATGTGAGAGACAACAGCAAGGGGAACTGACCACGGGGAGAATGAAGTATCACCTCTAGTGGTGCTTTGTGAGGAAGAGTGGAAGACTATAACCCATAATTTGATAAGTCCAACTTTTGGATTGATAGATATCTAGGTATCTTGGTRTCTTTGGCAGAGGTTAGAAATCCACTTTAATTGTAACTTTTGGGATTTGTGTTGACGTAGGGATAGCTCTTAACATTCTCTTATAGGTTACTAGTAAATAGTGTCTTGCTCAAGTCCTTTAGTATTTGTGTTTATGCCAATACTAATTAACAGTAGTTTTGCTTTTATCTCCTTCAGTTCCAATTGTTGTGTCTTCTGCAATAATTGTGAGATACTGTCTTAAGGTAAAAGCTAACTCCCATTTCTGTTGACGAGCCCAATGAATGGACATACGTTGGTGAGGAGCATCTGCCCGCTGCTTTACCTAGCATGTGAAAAGGCTGCCAGAATAGCAATTCCAGGACTTTTTAAAAGTAGCTGTAGCTCTTTTTGCTGCCAGTGGTCCCTGCAGCAAGGAATGCAGGCTGGCRGTCTTATATGTGGAAAACTAGTTCTATGTTTTGGGCTGGATTCTCAGTTGATATAAATGAGTCCTAGGAGAGCTGAGCTGATTTATAGCAACTGAACACTCACCTGTTCAAGAGAAGCCAAGAGGGAGTCTAGGGAACAGATCAGCTGCAGTAAACGRCATCCATCTATTCACCCCGAGGGTCTCCAGCTCCTTCCAGCAAGCCGCTCCTGGATGGAATTTCTCAGGAGCAAGCAGATGGCGACAGGGGATTGATCAGGAGCAAAAGACACATAAATACAGTCAAACTCCTGAGGCAAGAACCCTAGGAAAAGTAGAAATGCACTTCAATTGGAGATTACTATAAGAGATAGATATGCCATTTCCAGAGAGAAATGAAATTAGCATCGATGATGTAGCGTAGCAGGGAGAGAGAATATTGCAGTCCCTGGCAGGATCCCTTGCCTTCAATTTTATTGCGACTCTTAACGCTTCGGTCATGTCTCTGTGTGTGCAGAGCTGTTTCTGTCAGGCTGCATTGCCAAAGGTTAYGTTCTTGTTTTGGCAAATGGTTTGGAAAAAAACCTTCTGGGATGCCATCCCTGGTCCTTAGTGCTGCCCATGCCTTGCACTGGATMGGCTTGCACTGGTAAATAGGTGAATAAAATGGATGTATAAATGAAATGTATAAAATGTACGGCAGAGAAGAATAAATGGAGGATCAGCTAAGTGCTTCTCTGTGGTCATGTCGAAAAGCCCAAACTTCAGGACTAACATAGCATGGATCCAGTTTTCGTGAATCCTGCACTAAAATGCAATATTGAATCAAATATTTCAGTGACTGCAGTCATTTTGGTTTTGTTTCTTGTTCTTTGTGATCTAGCCTTTGTATTTTAATTCTGCGGCAGCAGAGGTAACTTAGTTGGTTCTGAGTATCTTGCCTCTCCAGAAGATATTTCCTAGCTTCAATCTGTTACGATTGCTGGTAAGTGGAGTTTATTGGTAGATCTGGTTTGCTCCCTGTCGAGCTTTGGCCTTGGCCTGGTCCCTTCTTCTCTAGTAGTCAGTCAAGATGGTGATACAGGTATCTGACCCATGGATACCCAGAGTATCAGTGATGTGTAATACATCTGTAGAGAACAGATATCTGTAGTTGGCTGCCAGGCTATATGGATAATTTGGCATCTGTCAGAAAAAAATAATATCTTTAATATGATGATGAAAGCTCCTCTGGGACACGTAGCAACTCAGCTAACAACAACAACAAATATATATATATATATATATATAAAAAAAATAAAAAACAGGATTATATATTCTGTATTTGTTATATGTATACATTGCATGTCCTTACATGACATGAACATGCACAGGTGCTGTTGGGGGGTTAGCTGGACTGCAAAGAGAAGGGGGTGGCTGTGATATTCCGTAYAGCTCGCTCTGCTAACGCAGCTCATCCCCATCTAAGTGATTGACGCCTCCTGCTCCCACGGGATGGAGATTGCTTCTTCATAGCGTGGAAGAACTCTGCATTTCAGATGACTTTTCTCTGGCCAATTTCTTATTAAAGTCGATGCAAGTTGTGCAACTGCATAACTAAAGCTGAACCCATGCTTAAGATGTACCTTCTTGTGGTTACTGTTGCTGCTGTTGTTGTTATTACTATTATAATATTTGGAAGTAACTTGYCGGGAGTTGCTTGAAGTTATAGCTCTCTTCCTGCTGTTTGGCACTTGGAGATCCAATTAAAATAAAAACACAGGGCTCGARTTGTCCCCCATCACATCAGTGTCATGCTGCTTTGAGATGTCTTATGCAGCATTATGGCCCTGTCATCTTATGTAATCACGTGGTGAATCATGTTCAGGCCTTTTGTGTTTAAAGACAGTTTTATTTTATCGCATTTTTCTTTCCTTGGATGACTGCATTTCTTAGTAGATGATCACAGTAAATGCTGAGCTAGAATTTTTCAGGTTTCATAGCTTATGGATGTCATGTGTTCTTTTGCCTCCTTGAACAAAGCAGTAAAAAATAATTTAAGGGTCTGTTTGTCAGACACATAGGTTTAGAGCTGCTGCTTTCTCATTAATGTGATTGTGATGTGGCGGAGGAGGCTCACAGTGATAGAGAACTGCAGCTGAGCAAGGTTCATTAAAGGGAGCCCATGTATCTGATAGGTTAAGAGAATTTCATGTGTTGATTGAATTSTACGTAAGCTGAAACATAACCTGAAACACAGCAAACTTCAGAAAATGGCCTAACAACAACTAGCCCTGTATTTTCAGTGAACCATCATCTCTGGGTTTAAAGTCATTCCACGATTATCAGTGAAATGCATAGCTCAGCTATAGATCGTTTCAGCTGTGTATTTGTGAGGAACACTTGCTATCCCTCTTACCCATGTGCTTTCCTGAGCTGTTCACCCAAGTGTTTTATCTGCTAGTGCTGTATGTACCTTGGCTTGCCACCTCTGAAAGCTGGAGTGAGTGGACTAACCAAAGTGGGGTGTGAAGGAGACCTTGAGGGGTTCTTCTCTTTGGCTTTCTCTTTCCTGTCCTTGCCCGCTGGCTGCCAAAGGCCATAATTAACAGGAGATGTTCATGGGTGTCTCTTAAGCAGCCTTCTACCTTGCGTTGGGAACCTGCTTCTGAAGAGCTTCAAGCTAGCAGGCGCCCTGGAGGAGGACACCTCATGAAGCCCAGCTGCCAGGACATTGGGCTGAGGGAAGAGCTCATCTGAAGCAGACCATGAAATGTGTGAACGCCTGGTCCTCAGCACCCCTTTCTCCATCTGCTCCCACTGTGCTGTGTTACTGCTGCCCTTTAAGGTAGACAGAGCCATTTCCTCTAGGTAGCCCTTTGCCTGGAGGAGATCTGATACAACCCAGACCATTCATCTCACCCACCGCCTTTCAACTCCCCTTGATTCTCATGGAAATTCAGGACATTTGGCCCTTTGTAGGATGGGCACTAGGAAGTTTGCTACACGGCAAGCTAAAGCAGCTCTGTTTATGCCTGCTTTGTTAGCTATGCCAGGATGTTCAATATGTTTGAGTTAATAGAGCTG